GATTCAGAAGATAGCCACGACAATAGAAAAAACGAGAGGAATCTCTTGTTTATCAACAGTTACCTCTCTTCCCCTTCTCTGCTCCCATTATTATGATGCATATCCACCATAGATGTAAGCTCATCTCTCATGTAATGTACGATTATTACATTAAGAAATCTTACGCGGTCTTATTCTTTTTTTATTTCGTACTTTATATGCTTGAATCTGGAATTAATTATGTTTGGCTAAGATCTACTTTCTTTATTATCAATAATTAGTTTGACAAAAGGGTTTTACACTTTTTGGTCAAATAATTTGGCGCTATCTGTGGGGATTTCTTAGTTTCCTTCAGATCTAGAACCGGCGAAATATCACCACGTACTTGAAAGAGTGGTAAGTAAACCTTCGAGACAACCGTACTAATCTAGGTCAGGCTGCTACATAAAAGTAGAAGTTATAACTAATATCTATGAAAAACCCACATCTCACTAATAGCAATAGGTTTAGCATGACGTACGCATGTTCAAAATACGATCATGGTCATCTGGCATGACAACACCCCCATTTGACGCATTTACCTTATATATTAACCCGCATTCCCACCCTTCATGAGGGGACGACAGCTTGTTGCCTGGTCCTTTGAAAGAATGGGCACATCCTGCGCTGCTTTCATATTCCCCCACGCATTGGATGGTCCATAAATGAAGTATGACATGTTTCCCTTGTTGTTAGTACAAATCGAACGAGATCGGACCGAGACTCAATTTCAACACTTCAGCAAGTGAGGTGGGCCCAACCCGCGCGAAGCCTAAACGCTGTTAAAAATGAAGTTGAACACTGTCGCTAAATCTAAAACCACCATTCAAACACCAGGCAAAGCGAGTAATGCTACAACGTCGCTCTTTTCGCTGACCCGTTGGATCGAGGTACGAAAAATTTCATTTTGATTTATTCTCTGTTATTGGTTTAAACAGTAACTCGAGCACTTGCACGGGCAAGTGAGCAAAGGAGCATTCCAACTAGAAACAATGGAAGGAAAACTACTATAAAATAATTGGAATGTCGCCTACCTCAAGTACTTCAACTTCTGAAAAAGGACACCCCTCAAGTTGTACTCTTTTTCCCTCACTCGGGTTTTGTCCCAATTGGGTTTTCTCGGGAGGTTTTTAACGAGGTGACGAAGGGGATGTCTTGAAGTTCAAGCATGATTCATCACCCTCGCTTGTTGACTACTTCCCCAGACCGGGCGATGAAGAGACTAGATACACGGAAACTTCTCCAATATATGTATGAAACGAACATGTATAACATTCTCCAATGAGTGAAATAGCAATATTTTGTTCTCCCCATCATCGTATTCTCCAATGCAAGCAAAATTAAGCAAAATGGGACTCACCCAGGAAATGAGTCATATTCTCCCATGCAAGCAAAATTAAGCAAACTGGGACTCACCCAGGAAACGCAGAAGCAAAGAAAAATTGGGATTCCCTAGGGAACACCTAATATTCTCCAGTAAAAACAAAACCGAGTACGCCAGGATTCACCCCGACGTATACACAAACAGTATGGTGACCTGTAATTCTCCAAAATTTGACAATGAAACAACGGGTTAACATTTCGACATTAGTTAGAAATGACACCCCTACGACCAAAGGCCATCGCCAAAAGAATAATTGACACCCCTACGGCCAAAGGCCATCGCCAAAAGAATAATTGACACCCCTACGGCCAAAGGCCATCGCCAAAAGAAGAATTTGACCTCGCTCGAATTACAACGGGTTGACATTTCGACCTTAGTTCGAAATGACACCCCTTCGGCCAAAGGCCATTGCCAAAAGAAGAATTCAACTTCGCTCTAATTACAACGGATTAACATTTCAACCTTAGATCGAAATGAAACCCTTAGTACCAAAGGCCATCGCCAAAAGAAGGATTCGACCTCGCTCGAATCACAGCGGGTTAACATTTCAATCTTAGTTCAAAATGAGACCCCCACGGCTAAAGGACA